GAGAGAGAGAGAGAGAGAGAGAGAGAGAGAGAGAGAGAGAGAGAGAGAGAGAGAGAGAGAGAGAGATGAAACGTTGAACACACACACAACTACTCAACGGCGCAGCATTGAGCAGGGAAGAAACATAATACTAAACTGAGCAGCTGAGGTGAAGGAGGAGGGCATAGTCCTCTTCCCTCCCTACAACAAGACCACCTCATGTCATCTTCCCTTCACGACATGCATGAATGCCAAACACCGTGCTGACGTCCATAAGTCATTCGTGGATGCTCCATACTGAATGACAGACCTATCAACAGCACAAAAGGTGGCACACTCATAAATGTCATGTGAATTCGTCGAGTGCAACTGCACCTGGCTAGCATATATCCATTCAATGAGGACAGAACAAAAATCAAGCCCTTGTATATGAGCAAAACCAGGTGCTCGAGTTTTACAACGATAAGGACGATTGGTTCCGTTGCTAACTAAATATACACCAAATTCTCCTTTGGGCGACGGAACATATTGCCGGAACATATTAGCAAACTGAATAATTGTCTAAGCGCACAAACATCACAGACCAACTATTTAACACTCCACAGGACAGAATGGCTACCTCACCCGTTCCCAACAACGTGGACGTACGAACTACCAGCTGAGCATCCATGCCCTCACAGTTAATCAATTTGCAATTTTCAAGAGCATCTGAAAATTCTGAATTGCGCTTATAAACGCAGGTCCAATATCCATCCATTCTAACAAGGCTGCCATAAAAGACCAATTCACCCTATCATAAGCGCAAGGCTGGCAGACGAGACGAATTCACCCTATCATAAGGGCATCCACTACGTGGTCATTTATGGCTGCAGTGGAATCACAAACAGTCAATGGCTCTTTGCAGGAAGATCTCACAGCCTATACATCATCGTAAAGGGGGCAGGACGAATGGAGATTATAGCTATGGGTTTTCTGATCCTAGACCACCACATAACCTATCCCGGTGGGGCCCCTTAGCTGCTCACCTGTTTTGCGCTCGTAGCAATAAATAGGGTCCTGTTTGTGTGCCCTACGGGAAGAGGAAGCTGGGGGGGTAGTCCCACTAGCAAAGAGGGTTGGATCAAACACCTGAATCTGGATGTGTTTTAAGCAAAGATGCAGAGAACCAGACCAGTCGCCATTTTCCGGATCTCTCCAAAAACATGTCCACATTCAAGCATCCAATCTGACCCTCGTTGCTAGTTGTTGGACTGCACCCCTGAGGGTGCAGCTGGGCTTCATGTCCATTTACCCCTATTCTTCGTCTCCGACCCTATCCCGAGCCTATCCCGACGCTATCCCGAACCTAACCCGAGCCTATCCCGAGCCTATCCCGAGCCTATCCCGAGTCTAATCCGAGCCTATTCCGACCCTATACCGCAAAGATGAATGGTGAGGTACAGAGATTCCAGGCGCTACAGGTAAATCCACTTAGCCAGATTCTGTCTTCCAGACTGTTGATCTTCTCTCCCCGGTCGGTGGTGTTGTCTGCTCTTATCAGCAACACCATCACCGGCAGGGGGGTGTTTCTGAAAAAAAAAAAAAAAAAAAAAAAAAAAAAAGAAGATCTTCTGAGCGGATCTTTTGCATCTATGACCCACAACAATGAGTGTTGGTCAACAAGCCAAAAAAAAAAACGACGACCGCTGATCTTCCGCTCCGAGGCCCAGAACAGAGGCCCCCGAAAAGGAAAAGGTCCCAGCAGAGAGTTCCGGCAAGCCACCCCTTCCAAAAAAAAGAAAAGGCCGAGTGCGACCGTGGCCTGGGTAATTGGGACCGCGACCCACGCAAACGGGACCTCGCCTGGCAGAAATTAGCTACCCTGTCCAAGGTGCTTGCTGTGGAATCCGGGGGCGAAGACCCCTTTTGCGGCTTTTGCCCAGATTCTCTGCATCTGGCCGTTGATCCTTGTAATCTACGGTGAGATATGGGGGAATCCGGGGGTATGTGGGAGCCATGGGCCCGAAGAGCATATTCAGTTCTTTCCTTTGCCTGTTTACCATTCTATGTATCCTATTTTCTGAGGGCCTCAGCTTTTAATCTACGGTTAGAAGTGGAGGATCTCCGTCGTAACCATGCCCTCCCCTCAAGAGCATATTCGGTTTTGTTCGCCCTTTTTTTTAAGGGCATACTCGCACTACCAGTAGCACTATCTTCTCAACGCAGCTGACCACATTACGGCCAGACCTGGATGTATCTGGCCGGAATGACAACCAAAAAAATAAAAGATAAAACCAAAAATAAGATAAACAGCCCTCCGTAGTGTGAGTATTCCTTTTTCAATACTTTTTTTTTTTTTTTTTTTTTTTAACACAAAAAACAGTCCCTCCAGTGCTAGCAATGTGGGGAGGGGCTCCATCTATTGGTGGGGAGCGTCCTCGTCAGTCGAAAATACAGTCTGGTCCAGCCGTAAATCCATTCATCTAGAAAAGCTGCTGTGTGACTATGCTCTTATGACGTTGATTGTGTTGATTGGAGAAATGAAGAGCTCGTAAAAGATAGAAAAGAAAAAGAAAGAAAAAGAAAGAAAAAGAAAGAAAAAAGTAAATGAAGAGCGGCTCCCAAAAAAAAAAAAAAATCCCAAAAAAAAAAAAAGAAGAAAAACCTGGTAAAAAAATAAAAATAAAATAAAAATAAAATAAAATAAAATGAAGAGCGGTTATTTCGGTCGGCGTTCAGCGGATTTCCCTGCCGTTAGATGACTCCGATGCGACTGCATTGAGAGGGGCCGCCTCACACTACCGGATGCAGTGCTACCGTGACTGAATGAATGTAACCGCAAATAAGATCAAATACGTCCAGGAAAGTTCTAGGCTGAAAGCAAATGTTTCTTACGGTGTTTGAACTTTTTTGCGCCGGCCGCGGAGGCCAAGGCACTGGGGAGACCCCAGGGCGCGCCACGTGTCGGCCGACGAAAACGCAAACATCGGGGGTTAAAAAGTGCCACGTGTCATCCTCGGAGGGCGTCGAGGCCCGCCATATCATTTTTTGTTTTTTTGTTTTTTTAATTCTTCCACCGCTAATGTTCTAATAATTCCCCCCCCTCTCCCTCTTTCCGCGCCTTTACTCTTCGATTCCACATTTTTGATCGACCTCTCTGTCGTTAATTGCCTACCCCCTTGGCCTCTCTCTCTCTCTCTCTCTCTCTCTCTCTCTCCCTCCCCCCCCCCCCCTCTCTCTTTACTTCCTCTGTATCGTTGCTCATCTCTCTCTCTCTCTCGCTCTTGTTATCGCGTCTTTGAGGTTCTTCTGAACGAAAAACGGAATAGAGAAGGTTCTGCAGAACGATTCGGTGCTTTCCTGGCCGTTGATTGCGTGGGACGATATCGAGGGGAAACGGATTAATCACGCTCCCTCCCTCCCTCCCTCCCTTCTTCCGTCCCTCCTCTCCTCTCCCTCCTTGCCTCCCTCCACGCCACTCCATCCATCTCTGTCCCTTAGTTCTCGGCTGTTACGGGACAAAGCGAACTGGACAGTTGGCCGCTTGCCACGTGGGCTTCTTTGTTGTCGTGAAGCTTGATTGGTCATCGTGCCACGTGTTTGCGTTTGAGGTTGTCTGATGACGTGGCTGGTGACGGAGGCGAGAGAGATTGCGGCTTGGCGCGCTACGAAGACAGCTGGAAGCGGGCCACGTCACCATCTTCGTTCCTATCTATTTTGTCATCAATCGGCTGATTGGTCATTGGGAGAGAGACGGCGGTCTTAACGGAGGAGGGCGAGACGACGACGAAACGGCGGGTGATTCTAGAGACAAATGTATGGTTCATTGATTGGCTGATTGCTGACCAGATGCAGCGTACTACGTTGATGGATGAAACATTCTCGTCATCACGCATCTCGTCGTCTTAGACTGTATACGTGTCGTCTCTTAGTGCCTCCACGTCGAAGTGACGCCACGTCGAAGTGACGGACGTAATCATCACCCTCTTCATCTGTGATTCGACAGTCGTAAACGACCAATCAAGCAATGACCGATCAGGCAACAAGCTGTACTCGTGTCATCATCCCTTGATGACTCCACGTCGGATCGACTGACGTTATCATCACCCTTTTCATCCGTGATTTGATCGTCGCAACGACCAGTCGAGCAACAACCAATCAAGCAACGACCAATCGAGCAACGACCAATCAAGCAACGATCAATCAAGATATACGACCGATCAATCGAGAGCAACGACCAAGCAAGGTACGGCCGATCGAAAAAAAAAAGGCAGCAATGGTGGCTGTGCAAGTCATCGGAGCAACTGCCACGTGGCCACCGTTGCAGCAGCCCCCACATCATCATCATCAACAATCTCGTCAGCAGTCCAGCTGGAGATCTGACGATGTCTCCCTGCTAATGAGAAGGGTCGGGGTCGGGGTCGGGGGTCGGGGTCGGGGTGGAGACTGTTGCGGGCACTGCAGGGGAGTAGGCTGTGATTTGTCGTTTAGCAAATCGGCGACCGGATGGGGCAGAAGGGGGGGGGATGGTGGTGGTGCTGACCTGTCGCAGTCCTTGTCCTTGTCCCCTCCGACGACGGCGACACGTGGCAGCAATCAACTGCCCGATTCCTCTGCGTTGGTGCGAGTCTTCTCGCCGCCACGTGGCAAGCAAGCAACGGGTCATCCTCCTCCTCCTAATAATAATAATGATAATAATAATAATAACTACCCTAATCATCGCCATGATGGGGTTCGATACGTTAAACCCTCGAGGATGACGAGCGGATGGACACACGACGCTGAGCTGGATGCGATCCCGCTCCCGACGACGAGATCGACGAAGACAACGAAGAGCTGCAGCTATGGCGGCAGCACCTCCGGTCACAGTATGCTGATGCTAGAGGGGTGGCGATGGGGGGGGGAGAGCAGCGCGAGGGTGGAAGGAGGGTGGTTGGTAGAGGGGGGGGTACGGCGGGAGGGGAACAAGGTGGAGGAGAGAAGAGGGGAGGGGCGGGGGGTGTGTCAATGCCACCACCGAGATGTGACGGCGACGTGTGGACCGTCCATGACACCGCCGCCGCCAAAGTCTACGAGACTTAGGGGGGGTGGGTTCGTAAGCAGTTGGGGGAGACGAAAGGAGGAGGAGGAGGAGAAGGAGGAGGAGGAGAGGGAGGAGGAGGAAGGATGGGTGATGACGAGGATGACCACGAGGTACAACACCATCAAGAAGAAGGAAGGAAGATTCGCGAGAATCATCGCCGCCGCCATAGCCGAGTCGGGATCGAGTGGAGTATCATCGCTCGGGGGGGGGGTGAGCGCAAGGGAGAGAGTGGAGAGGCGAAGAAGGGGGATGATGACCTGGCAATCAATCAATCCAAGGCTTTGGTCAAGTGTGGGCGTCAACGAAAATCCACTCGGCGTGCGGGTCATGCAGGTGGGCGCAAGTAGGACGAGCGTCATGAAGAGTACCTTAAGAAGGTGTAGGGGTGAAGACGGAGCTAATTTGCTGATGAGGCGGGGGGCGAGATGGATGTTGGGATCTGAAAAGGAGGAGGAGCGAGAGGGAGGAGGGGAAGGACAGGGAGTAAGGAGCCTGGGCAGGAGGGAGGAAGAGGCGGGAAAGAAGAGAGGCGAGAATGGGAGAATATCAGAGACCGAGGAGGAGGAAGAAGCGGAAGAAGTAGAGGCGAGAGATCGAGACGAATCCAGTGCTACGGTTACTCTTCCTCCCTCTCTTCCTCCCTCTCCTCCCTCTCCTTCCTCTCCTCCCTCTCCTACTTCTTCTTCTTCTTCTTCTTCTTCTTCTTTGTCTAAGTCATCCCAGACTTCCTTGGCCTTAGGAGGGACTGCCATCGGTTTGGGAATTGTGGTTGGGGCTGTAGCACTGGTGGCGGGTATTGGAACCGTGTTTAGGGCCCAAATTAATTCTTTTTTAATGACTTTTTCGTCGGTTTTAGACGGTCTAGGTTTCTTTGGGTACATCTTGTTCGTCTTTGTGTATGCGGCTCTGGAAGTGCTGGCGATTCCAGCCATTCCCCTGACCATGACAGCTGGCCTTCTCTTTGGTGTCGTCTTGGGCACTGTCCTTGTCTCCATAGCCAGCACCTTAGCTGCCACCATCGCCTTCTTGATTGCTAGATACGTTGCACGTGACAAGATTATTCAGCTCACCTCCAAGTATCCGAAATTTGCCGCCATCGATAAAGCTATAGGGAGAGATAGCTTTCGGGTTGTAGCGTTGCTCAGGCTAAGTCCTTTGATGCCATTCTCGCTGGGCAATTACTTCTACGGGCTCACGTCCATCAGATTGCTGCCGTACATCGCTGCCAGCTGGATAGGCATGCTGCCGGGAACGTGGACATATATTTGCGCGGGAAGCGTGGGGAGAAGTATCATTTCACAGCCGCAGCAGGTAGGAGAGGGGGGGCCCTCGGTGTTGTCGGGACTGGCGGGAGGAGGGGAGATCTGGGCGTTGGCGCTGGGGGTGTTTGTGACCTTGGTTGCGACTGCGTACATCACCGGGATCGCCAAGGACGCGATAGAGGACGTAGAGTCATGACGGTGGCGGGAACAGGAGAGAGAGAGAGAGAGAGAGAGAGAGAGAGAGAGAGAGAGAGAGAGAGAGAGAGAGAGAGAGAGGTATAGAGCGCGTGTCACTTTCTCTACCCCGACCTTCCAGCCATGCGCGCGGAGAGATAGCGAGAGGCTACTTCGATTCATAGGNGAGAGAGAGAGAGAGAGAGAGAGAGAGAGAGAGAGAGAGAGAGAGAGAGAGAGAGAGAGAGAGAGATGGTGGAGCAGCGGGAAGGACAAGAGGAAGGTGAGTTACATAGTCAATCCCTCCGCCATGTCTCTCTCTCTCTCTCTCATGAACACGATCTAGACGAGAAGAGCGCCAGAGAAGAGCCGACGACAGGCGTGCACGAAGAAGAAGAAGAAGAAGAAGAAGAAGAAGAAGAAGAAGGCAGAAGAAGAAGAAGAAGAAGAAGAAGAAAGAGAAGAAGAAGAAAGAAGATTACCATGTCATCAGCAGCAAAGAAGAAGGCAGAAGAAGAAGAATAAGAAGGAGAAGAAGAAGAAGAAGAAGGAAGGAGAAGAAGGAAGAAAAAGAAGGAAAAAAAGTATAAGAAAAGGAAGAGGAAGATTACCGTTTAACGAACAAGTGCATGAAGAAGAAGGTGCAGCATGGCCCTGTAATGAGCTGCATGAGGAAGAAGTGGGAGAAGAAGAGAGGAAGGGGAAAAAAAGAAAAAGAAGAAGAAAACAAAGGAGAAGAAGATAGGAGAAGGAGAGAGCACAAGCCGAATGAGAAAAGTAAAACACTGGTGCAGGATTACATAAACAACGCCAACGAGAAGAAGAAGAAGAAGAAGAAGAAGAAGAAGAAGAACAAAGAAGAAGAAGAAGAAGAAGAAGAAGAATCCAACTGGGAGAAAAGAATGACCCCCCACCCCCCCCTTCTTTTGGATTTAGTCCGATTTACATTACGCGGGGTGCGGCCTGGCACAATGAATTTACGTAAACGGGGCCTCAGAGCATACTCTCACTAGGAGTTTTTCCACTTCTCTGCGGACGTAAAACACCGGTTAGGTGCATTCTGTCCAGGTCGGAAATGGGGTCATATACATTGGGGAAGGTCCTATCCTACCCTTCTTCCCCCCGAATACAACTTACGGTCATTTTAGCTGTATTTAGACTGAAAGATACCCCAAATACAGACAGCTATAATGACCGTACGTTGTATTCGCGGGAAGGTCCTAGGAGTGTGAGCATGCCGTCAGGCCCGGTTTACATGCAGGTGGGGCGCAAATTGATAGTGAGTGGTAGTTTTAACGAAGGGTAATAATACTCACAGTCTGACTTTTCGGGATGTATCTGGCCGCAATTACGATTACTTCCGTTGCACCTAACCCTTTTTTGTATGACGAGCTTTACCGGATGAACTTGGTGCAAAGAAGGGTTAGATGCAACGAAAGTAATTGCGGCCAGATACATCCCCCCCTGAAAGTCAGAGCTGTTCCGATTGCAACCTGGGGCATGGAGATACCGTGTCGCAGCAGGTGCAGCAGATCCCAACCTGCAACAGAGTCCTGACATGTAGCAGATTCTGACCTGCAGCGGACTCCTGACCTGCAGCAGATGCCTGACAAGATGCACAAGAGTCTGACCTGCAGTACAGTCCTGACACGTAGCAGATTCTGACCTACAGCAGAGTCCTGACATGCAGCAGACGACTGACAAGCTGAACCAGTCTGACCTGCAGCAGAGTCCTGACATGTAGCAGATTCTGACCTGCAGCAGAGTCCATACATGCAGCAGAGTTCTGACCTGCAGCACAGTCCTGACCTGCAGCAGAGTCCTCCAAAAGAAGTGGCCCATTTCTGCTTAAGAAAGCCGCCTAAAAAAGAGGCGCCTTGACCTGCGGCAAGGTCCGGACCTGCAGCAGATTCCTGACCTGCAGCAGATTCCTGCGTTGCAGCACCCTGACCTTGCATGGTCGGCACCAGATCTGGGCTATAAATAGCAAACAACTGAGTGGCATGGCATTCTGAGCTCTAGCATCTGCACCTTATTGCTGTATGTAGACTGGAAATTGCCCGAAATACAGCTCTAATGACTGGGCGTGCTATTTAGGCGAAGATGGTGGCAGCAAAGATCAGACCGGCAATAGTGTTTGCTCTACTAGTAGTGTTGAACAGGCCCTACGGCCCACTAGCAAACAGGATTGAATTTAATGCCTGAATCTGGACGTGTCTGTGGAGAAAGTGCAGGAAATTGTGATTGATCTGCTTTTCTGCATCTCTGCATAAACACACATCCAGATTCAGGCACTCCATCGAATCCTCTGTGCTACTTGGGGACGGTAAGCACGCACGGAGGCGAAGATCCCTCACATAGGTGAAAAACTTAACCCAAAAAAAGACCGGAAAAAAAGCGGGTCTGTCCATAGATATGTGGAGAATGCCGTCTTGATTCCTGAATTGAAAACTGTGTTCCTCTCTCTCTCTCTCTCTCTCTCTCTCTCTCTCTCTCTCTCTCTCTCTCTCTCTTGCTTGCTCGCTCATTAATCTGTTCCCCTTTCCCCCATGCTCTCTCTCTATCCCTTCCCCCCCGTCTCTCTCTCTGTATCTCTTTCGCTGAATGAATCTGTTCCTCTTTCCGTTCTCTCTCCCGCCCTCCCCCCCTCTCTCTCCCTCCCCCTTTCTGTCTCTCTCCCTCCCTTCATCTCTCTCTCTTTCTCTCTCTCTACCTGTCTTAACCAGGCCCTCCCCCCACCCCCCCTCTCTCTCTGCATCTCCTTCGCTCAATGAATCTGTTCCCCTTTCTGTTCTCTCTTCCTCCTCCTCACCCCCCCCCTTCTCTCTCTTTCCCTCCCTCCATCTCTCTCTCCCTCCTGTCTCTCTCGTTACCTGTCTTAACCGTACCTCTCACTCTCATCCACGTATCGTCAATGCCTCTACCTTCCAGGTGTCTATACTTGGTTGGTTTCATTAGGGAGGGGGGCTGAGGGGAGGGCGTGGTTAAGACAGGTAGAGAGAGAGGTGGTTGGTTACATTAGGGAGGGGGGAATGCTGGTTGATAGTACATTTCACTTGGTCATGTCGGACCCTCTCTCTACTTTCAAAACTTCGTGGCAGTTTACCAACATAGTTTTAAAAAAAACAGCAATGGGGGGCTTTAGCCTTTAGGGGAGGGATCCCAACACACCTACCTGGCCAATTTACATTCGTTCCTGTGCCGCTCTCCGCCAGGCCCTACCTGCATTTTCAAACCCGCCTCCCCCCCCCCCCCCCCCCCCCCCCC